GCATTGAAAGAAATTTCAATCTGACAACTCGAAGTTGTGAATGCTACTAAAACTATTTTTTCTTGAGAAAACTGTTTGTCATTTCATTGAAGTATGTTCAGACCGAACCACCTGCTTTTACGATATTAGTTCTATTTTTCTTTATACTCCCTCCGTCCCAAAATAACTGTCTCAAGCTTAGTACACCTTTGTACAAGAGCTAGTACAAAGTTGAGACACTTATTTTGGGACGGAGGGAGTAGCATTCACGGTTTTTATACTTTGTGTTCATGCATTGAAGTACGAATTTTAGTCTTGCTTGTGCTCCACTTGGAAAAGGATTAGATAATTAACTGTTTCAAGATGGGAAACTGGAGTGCTGCTCTCCATTTTCTCCACTTGGAAACACTCAGAGCACCCTGCATAGTCTTTGACTCTAAGAAATGCTTGATTTATTTGCTATCCTGGTAATGCTGATCTATTGTTTTAGTAGTGTATTATATTGTTGCGGCGCAAAGCTTTTGCTAGCCTGTTTAATTGTACTTGCTTGTCATCCTAGACAACACGTGTTGATAAGGGCGAGCCACATAATTCTCTGTGGTGGCTGTTTGTGTTCCAGAGACCTGTTGTGTGAGTAGATTTGATCTTTTACTGTATATAACATCAGTGAAGACAAATGCTACCCCATTTTTCTTCTGTTTGCCTGTCATCCTAGACAACACGTGTTGATAAGGGTGACCCACATAATTCTCTGTGGTGCCTGTTTGTGTTCCAGAGACCTGTTGTGTGAGTAGATTTGCAGATCTTTTACTATATGTAACATCAGTGAAGACAAATGCTACCCCATTTTTCTGCTTGCTTGTCATCCTAGACAACACGTGTTGATAAGGGTGACCCACGTAATTCTCTGTGGTGCCTGTTTGTGTTCCAGAGACCTGTTGTGTGAGTAGACATGTAGACCTTTTACTATATGTAACATCAGTGAAGACAAATGCTACCCATTTTTATCCTTGCTTTGTCTTTATGTATTCTGTCTCATGTCTCATCCTATGTATTTTCATGCAGGATAAGAAGCTGCCTGAAAGTGCCATGCACGACCTGGCTTATGATCTTGTCAAAGCCCTCCTGTAAAGTTTATTTGGTAACCTCGTTTTCATTATATCTGTTGTGTTATGGGTGGATTTTGATTGACTGAAAACATGTTGGGTGTTAGGTTCTTGCATTCACAAGGAATTATATACTGTGATCTGAAGCCATCTAACATTCTACTTGATGAGTTTGGATGCATGAAGGTAATCAGTAGACCACTGTGTAATATGTAAATACAGTGACAGCAAAAGAATAGACAATTGCTGGGAACTAACATTAATTTCCCCTTATTGTTGTAGCTGTGTGGTTTTGGGTTAGCAAGACGTTTAAAGGACATTGAGAAGACCAATCCTGGAGATGTGAGCTCCCATTTCCTTTTCTTCAAGCATTTCGTTTCATTTGGTTTTATCTTATTTTAATGATTTCCCCCGGTTCGAATACCTGGTTTTTAGGTGCCACAACCTATGAGGGGGACACCATGTTACATGGCTCCTGAGTTGTTCCAAGAGGGAGGGGTCCACTCATATGCTTCTGATTTCTGGGCTCTTGGTTGTGTGCTATATGAATGCTATGCAGGAAGACCTCCTTTCGTGGGCCGTGAATTTACCCAGTTAGTCAAATCCATAGTTTCAGAGCCTGCACCACCTTTACCTGATAACATGTCAAGGTCTTTCCAGAATCTGATCAACTGCTTACTCATGAAAGACCCAGCTGAAAGACTACAGTGGTCTGAACTATGTGCACACAACTTTTGTAGGAACAGTATGCCGATGATTCCTTTACCTCCTCAGCCTGCCTTTGATAACATGGTTGGACTTCCCGCTACGCCATATTTAGTTGAGCAAAATGGGGATAAACCCACCAGACAGCTGACGCCACCCAAGACTCGTGAACACCTACGCAAGAAAGATGAAAATTCCGCCAAGGTGTTCACGACCCCTATTAAGAATGTGCAAACTGGTAAGAAAAATAATCCAAATCATTGTAAGGCTGATGGTTTGAAGGGTGTAAATGTCCTTAGAATGTCTCGCATAGCTAAGAAAAATTTGCAAAGGGAAAAGGCCGAGGAGAACTACAGGCGCCCTCCCACAGAAACAGACGAAAATGAGGCTGAAGTTAAGATCGGAAATACATGGAGCTTGATTTTGGTGAAAATGCAGAAGGCGGTGCACCTGATGATAATGATGGATCAGATAATGCTGGATCCACAGCAGATGAAAAACATAGGACTCAAGGAACTGATGGAAATGAAGAGAACTGCATAAATCAGGTGGATATGCTCACGGATGAGTGTTCTGTTAAGCCTGATACCGTGTTGTAAGCTGAGCAGAACGTCCAAAGATAACTTATGATGCTGCAACAGGTTCTGAGCGGTCTAACATCTTTGAAGCATTCTGGCATCCAACAGACCTTGCAGTTAAACCAGTCATGCCCAGTAAAAAAGGAGATAAAGCTACAGAGAGCATCTCTGTGCTTCCTTTTGAAGCTCTTCCTGCAGCTGATTACATCAAGTTACCACGAGAACAGGTGAATGCATTCAATAGCCAGATAATTCAGAGTTTGAGTGGATCTTTTCAGGTTTCAGAGAAACAGAATATCACCAGTTACCTGGAGTTGTTAAGCATGAACTCTGATGCTGCAAATATAATCACTAATGGCCCAATTATGTCGTTGCTCATAAAAATGCTCCGACTATCAAAAACTTCAGTCTTGCGTGTACACTGTACAGGTTGCTTCACTTATGGGACTGCTGATACGCTACTCCACTATCCTTGATGCAGAGCTAGCTAGTTCAGGAATTATTAATGCCTTGTCAGATGGCTTAAGAGACCGGCACGATAAACTGAGGAATCCTGTATGGCAACACTTGGAGAATTACTGTTCTACATATCAACTCAATCTGATCAGGATAGCAAGGAAAGCAATGCTGAAGAATCTCCTATGAAGGACAACAAATCTGGTGCCTTGTGGCAGGTTAGAAACTCCAAATGAAAAATATGCTAGCTCTACATTTTTTTTGCATGCCAGTGGTTGATTTACATGGACTTACCTTGTATTACCCTATACTGCATCATGTTCTGAAAAGGTAAGCTGTGGTGGCAAGATACTGGGAATTAGATTCCAACATCTCTAATGGTTAGTACTGTTTCTTCTATGGGAACATATTCTCTTTGCCCACCGTAATGTACTGAAGTAGAAATTCATTAGGAGTTGAAAGTATATTAACTGAAAGAACAAAATGCAGCATATACATATGTAGATGGTAGATACCGACTTCATGTTCCAATACATGCTCCATTCTTTATTCATGTGTCTAGACGCAAGTTTATTTTTAATGTGTGTGTTGAGCTTTTGCAGTTATTATAAGTACATAAAAGGGTATGTATTGGAACATGAGGATAGTTATATAAATATCCTAGCTGTATGTGGTCATTTAGCCTAGATAAACATATTGAGTGGTTCATTTCCTTTGATTTGCAGCTATAAGTTCAAACTACTGCCTTCCATGATTTAACTTGGCAAACTGTGCAGGTCCCTAGTGCTGTAATTGCACTGGTGTCATCTATCTTGCGTAAAGGGGAAGACGATCTGGCCCAGCTTTATGCCTTACGAACAATTGATAATATATGTAGCCCAGGGACAGACTGGACATCACGGTTTGCTTCCCAAGATGCAAGTGGTCATCTTTGCTACATCTATAAAGCAACTGGGAAGCAGGAGAATACAAGGCTTATTGCAATTTCTTGTTTGAGCCGCCTAGCTCGATTCAGTTCGTCATGTACTCATTTAATACTGGAGAAGCTATCATTCAAGGATATTGCATCCACACTCTTTAAGGGCAATCCACGTGAGCACCAGATCAGTCTGAATCTTCTGAATTCGGCATTAGTGAACAGTCATACCATACCAAATATGAACCGCTATATTCAGTTGTTAACCGAGGAGAAACAGTTGGTCCCTGGACTTATTTCTCTGATAGAACAGGGATCTGACATTCTGCATGGAAAAACTCTTCTATTTGTTGCTCTTCTTTGCAAGAACAGTCGAAGGTGGCTTCCACAATTCTTTTGCAATGCAAAGCTGCTATCAGCAGTCGATAGATTGGGAAAGGAGAAGGATGGTTTCATTCATCAATGTACCGAAGCATTTGTTCAGTTAGTTGCTTTGTTGGTCCCAGGCATTCTTGACACTGTATCTAGTGATATACAGCAGGTCATGGGTGGCAAATGTCATGGACCTATTACTGCTTTAACGGGACGTGCTCATCCAAAGAGCACAATTCATTTGTTCCCTGTTGTCCTTCATCTTCTTGGGAGTGTATCCTTCAATCACAGAGTTGTGACAAGTCAAGTATTGCTCCAGTTGGCTAATCTTATGAAGATATTGGAGACACCATTTCAGGTATGGCCTATAACTATCTGGACCCAACCTTCTTAGAACTGCTAGGTTCTCAAACCAGGATTCACTCACTGTTTTCTCACACACATGCACACAAGGGACTAGTATGAAGCTCTATAGGTTTATATCAACGGCACAAGCTTACTTTTACAAACAGGGGTGCATGTCCTTTTATAGGACTAACCAAACCAACTATATGCTACCAGTACTTGATAGCTAAGCTAGGACAGCTCAGTGCAAACTTTTACTGTAGTCTAGGACATACTGGTATCTGTCTACAGCTCAAAGTCAAATCAGATTTTACTTTTTACTGCTGGCAACTACAGTATATCAGTGTAGCTGCTACTCATTGCTGACATATGCATATCTAGATAATTTTGCATGCCATGATACAACTTCCACATGACTGGCCATGACAAACAAACCTGATGAGAAAATATGGAGATCATTCATTATATATTTGCACTGCAATGTCTAAATAAACTCATCCTAGTGTTGATGTTGTCTTGCCTTCACAGTCTTTGCATTACGCCATGTGTTCACCAAACTCTTGTCTTTTGTGGTCATCTTTATTGTATTTCCAGGCTCGGGATGATTTCCAAATGACATTGCTGCGAGTTCTAGAGGCAGCTATGGAAGAGTTTTCTGTTATACTTACGGAACACAAAATATTTACAAGTCGATTCCTTCCGACCTTATTCATCTTATACAAGGGCAATAAAGACTGTCATGCCAGATTCCTATGTTTGAATATACTGTCTGATGTGATGATTGTGATCTTCAGTGATTCTTCATTGACTGCAAACGAACAAACGTTAGCTGACCTGATAACAATCTCTGACAAATATTTTCTCCCTCTGTACCCTTCATTTGCAGAGGATGAAGATCCAATACCTATGTATGCACAGAAACTTCTAGTAATGCTGATGGAGCATGATTGTGTTAAGGTATCTGATATCCTGAATGAAGCGACAGTATCCCAGTGCTTTGAACTTTTGCTTGGAGATCTTTCAAATGCAAACGTAAGCAATTTGAAGCTTTGTTTTGCTCTAGCGTCTGCTCCTGACATGGACTCCAATGTCCTTTCACAGCTTCAAGTTGTCAGAAGAATAGGGAATCTAGTTGAGTTTGTGACTGCCAAAGATATGGATGATTTTCTGGAACCAACCTTGGACCTCTGCAGGTCTTTCATTATCCGTGGCATCGGCAGCAACAGAAGTACCGCCCTTACCAAAGAACCTGCACTCCTTGTTGACAGCGCCTTCAGCATGAGCATTGCTGTTGATCAACAATCTTGCATCATGGATATATGTGACCTCGGTGGCAGTATGGGTATATTTCTCGAGGTGTTTAGAAATTCAGATCCACAGATAAGCGATTTGGCGTCAGATTGCGTGGTGTTGCTGCTCAAGGCAGCACCTCGAGAGGCCACGATGGGCTTGCTGGCAAATCTTCCTAAACTGAGCGCTCTTTTGGACTCGTTGAAGCATGGTGTCTCCCTCCAGCTGACTCTCCTACTATACTGCCTAGCATTCTCTTGCAGGCAGTATCTAGCCCAAGGAATGATACTCTCAATGTCGGTGCCAGCTCTGATGCAAGTAGAAGCGCTTGTCTCTGGCTTTCAAGGGCTCACATGATAGCTGCCTTGCTGATGCTGCTTCGTATCTGGGTGCCGAACTGCAGCGCCTACCTCGCTGTGGTTGAGCAGAAATGTGGTCAAGGAGCCAGCAGCTGGCTGCTACTGCACACAAGTGATCTCAATAGGAGGGTATTGGCTTGGTATTTCTGGCGCCAAGTGTATGAGCAGAGCCATCGCCTCATCATGAGAGGCACGGTGCTGATTTCAATTGCTACTGTCTGGCATGGGAGTGCTGGGGATTTCAAAGGTGATATTCTGAGCTTGAGCTCAGTTATTCTCGTTATCTACCTCGTCCTTCCACTCCGAAATTCTCAACTGGCAGCGTACAAGCCCAGGTATTTGTTTTGTATTTTGGTGCTTATTCTGCATCCATGGCCGACACCTGTGCAGAATTCAATGCAACGCCGTTTGGCTGAATTAGCCTGGCTCAGACGGGATGTGAGTCGTCCCGTGCAAGATTCTGTTCCAACGGCAGAGCTTCCTGAACCCAACGGAATTTTTAACTGACAGAAGATTGCAGTCTGAAAAACATGTCAAGCACTCATGCTAATGCCTCAGGCCCCCAGTTCTCACCTCCGGTAAAGCACCATGATCATTGCAGAGGAGGCACCGGAGAAGTGAGATGGAGCCATCCAGTGATTTCTCTTGGAGGTGTACAGCTTCAGCTGGGTGGATGACTGAACCAGACCGTACCTTCAGTTCGCCCAGCCTCTCACTGTCTATCTATAGATGGTGCGCAGGAGCTCAATTTTCAAATTAATGCAATATCCATTCACAGATAAGCAGAGTACTGATGGCACCTGTAGAAAAGCTAGCATTCAATGCAAACATCATTTAGTTTGGAGAGTAGTACACCAATCAATCTGTCTCATGTATTCCATGCTACAAGAATATCTGATCTTGTAGTACCAGCTCCTCAAATTGTGCTCATCAGAAAAGTTGCAACTCATCCAAACAACAGCTTCCAAGTTCCAACCTGACCACCAATCAACCGGTACAAATATAATACATGAGGTAGTACTTATTAAGCACAACACTGATAAGCAAATATCCAGAAAATGTTTTCTGAAACCATTACATCGTTTCATCGAATTAGTGGACACATCGTTTCATCAAATGTTCGAGTCTTGCATGCTAGCTCAACACACATCTGGGAGTCTCAGTTCTGGACCTTTGGTGCAGTTGTTTCCCCGGTAACGCTCGGCCCCACAGTTTTTGCAGGCGCCTTCTCCCTACTTGTCGTGGGTCGCCAATCTCTTTACTCTTTGCTGGTGCCAGTAATCTAGCTAATCCATCTCGTCACTAGGACAGATTCTAGAAAGCTTCTCCCTTGTATATTAATTGTGAACCTCCTTGTTCCCATATGTATTGCATACTATTGATCGTCGATGAACAAAATTTTCTCTCCATTATTTCCAGAATAATGCTGATGCATTAATCGGGTATAAAATTATCTGTTTTCTTATATATCGAGGATTTGAGACTTCAAGCTACAAGCAAAAACTATTATACTATCCCTGGAACTACATATGCTTAGTCAGCTGTATTCAATTATTCATGCATATTATGATTTGCACGATGGATCTATACATGGTAACTATTGCAATAGGTATCTTAGTGTCTTAGGGCATCTCCAGCCGTTGGCCCCCCAGGGGGCGTCTAAAAGCGCCGCCTGGGGGTGAGCCGGCGATACACTCGACGCTGGGGGCGGTTTTGCGTCCAGTCGTCGCCTCCAGGCGCCGAAATTGGCCCACTTTGCAGCTCAATTTCGGCGAATAAACGGCCCATATGGGCGAGAATAGACCCATATTCGGCGTGATTTCGGCGTTCAATTATCAACACACACATATTTCATCACAGAAAAATCAAATACTTCAACAAAATACTACAACAACAAATAGTTCAATACAAATTATATAGTTCAACAAATAAAAACTCGTATTTCATCACGCGGCGTCCCCCTTGAGCCTTCATAGGTGCTCAATCAGATCTTTCTGCAGTTGATGATGCACCTGTGGGTCTCGGATCTCCTGACGCATACTGAGATAGGCAGTCCAAGTTGCCGGTAGCTGGTGATCAACTTCGGCTAGAGGACCCTGCCTGTAGTATGGTTCAGTGTGAAACACTGGGTCTTCTTGCTCGCTCTCGATGATCATGTTGTGCAAGATGACACAGCAAGTCATGATCTCCCACATTTGATCTTTCGACCAGGTCTGAGCAGGGTACCGAACAACAGCGAATCGAGATTGGAGCACACCAAATGCCCGCTCGACATCCTTTCTGCAAGCCTCCTGAACCTTCGCCAAACCAGGCGTTCTTGCCTCCTGCCACAGGGTTTGAGATCGTCTTCACAAATGTCGACCATCTCGGATAGATGCCGCCGGCTAGATAGTACCCCTTGTTGTATTGGTGCCCATTGATCTCGAAGTTCACCGGAGGAGAATGGCCCTCAACGAGCTTGACAAAAACAGGAGAGCACTGCAGCACGTTGATGTCATTGTGAGTTCCTGGCATACCAAAGAAGGAGTGCCAAATCCAGAGGTCCTGTGTGGCTACCGCCTCAAGCACCACACTGCAACCGCCTTTGGCGCCTTTGTACATCCCCTGTCAACCAAATGGTCAGTTCTTCCATTTCCAATGCATGCAGTCGATGCTTCTAAGCATCCCAGGAAATCCTCTTGCTGCATTCTGGGCTAGGATCCGAGCAGTGTCTTCCGCATTGGGTGTTCTCAAGTATTGTGGCCCAAACACTGCCACCACTGCCCGACAGAACTTGTAGAAACACTCTATGCTGGTGGACTCGGCCATGCGCCCATAGTCGTCGAGTGAATCATTGGGAGCTCCATATGCAAGCATCCTCATCGTTGTCGTGCACTTCTGGATGGAGGTGAATCCAAGAGCGCCAGTGCAATCCATCTTGCACTTGAAGTAGTTGTCGAACTCCCGGATGGAATTCACAATCCTGAGGAAGAGCTTTCGGCTCATCCGATAACGGCGCCGAAATGTTCTCTCGCCATGAAGTGGAGCATCGGCGAAGTAGTCGGAGTAGAGCATGCTGTAGCCGTGCAGACGATGTCGGTTCTTTGCTTTCACCCGCCCCGGCGCCGAGCCACATCGACGCGGCTTTTCATTGCTCGCCAGCAGTTGTGCGAGGGCGGCGAGCACCATCAGATGCTCTTCTTCCTGGACGTCGGCCGCGGCTTCCTCCTCCAGCAGCGTGGCGAGCTCTTCCTCCTCATCCGAGTCCATCACCGACACAGTCAAAACGCCGAACACCTTGCGCTTGGTGGGTGTGTACCCGCCGTTAAACCGCGCCTCCGCGGCCGGAAAAGGCGGCCGGAAACGCCCAGCTGCTGCGGGAGGGGCTGCCGCGGCGAAGCGCTGCTATTTTCTGGCGGGGAATGGCTATCTAGCGGAGTAGGCCGGCGGCTGTCGCCGGGATATAGCTAGTGGTGGCCGAGGGCGCAGGGGTGCGAGGCGAGTCGGGGGGAAGAAAACCTTGACTTTTCCCCTGTCGGTGTGGGCCAGGCGTGCTTTTCCCTACCGCCGGAGCCCCCAACGGCTCCCCAGCGCGCCGGGTTCGGCCTGTGACCGCCGGGCAGAAAAAAGGTCCGAACCGGCGATTTTCGGCGTTCTGGGGGCGCGACTGGGCCG